CAGACCTTGGTTGAGGAGAAATAAGGGTTTTTTCCATCTAATTTTCTATGCCATGAGTCTCCCTACCCTGAACTGTGCACTTAGACCAATATCCCCAAAGTAAGATTATTTTTATTGATGCTATTAGTACATTAGCTCCAGACAGACTCTCACAGGATTTGTCCAGCAGAAGAAAATCTTCACTTCCAGACCTCCTCTTCTTCCTGATGCCAACAGCCACCAGCTGCTGCTGAGAGGGTGCTGTGCTTTCCTATCTGAGCCCATTGACAGAAATGCAATAATTCAGAAACACGTGGCAGTAACCCTGCCTTTCTCACTGCTATGGATCTTTAAGGATCTCTCCCAGCCTAGTCACTCTGTGAATTCTCTGCTATCTCACTGTTATCTCAGAAGGAACAAGGCTGAATGTCTCTCAAGTATCAGAGGGAGAAGAGCAGAGGAGAACTGTGAGATAAAATTGGTGAAGATCACATTAGAGACCGAAATGAGAGAGATTTCTGGAGGAATACATTCCCTGTGCTCACTTAGTGCTGCTGTGAATCCCTGGATACCCACAGGAAAAGGTGGAAGGGACAAAATAAGAGAAAAAATTTCCATCCTCACCTTTGTGGCTTGAGTGCTTTGGGCAGCAAACCACTCGTTGTAGGTAATTTCTGTCAAATCACATCTGAAACAACACAGGGTGGGTAATAATTCCTGAGTGCTGAGGCCAGATATGGAGGCAGAGCTGATAGAAAGAAAATAAAATAATTACTAGGCCTAATTATCATTAGTGTGCAGATCTAAACCTGCCAGGCACAGGCTTACCAGGGAATTAAGTTCTTAAAAGAAATAGTTCTCATTGATCAGCAAATGTGCTCCCTGCACGCATTATTTGCACATTTTATGCTCACAGTATTCCTTAAATACTAATATATTTTATGAGCTATTGCCAGCTGCAAACTATAAATTATCTGTGCTATAAAATACATAATAACGGGTTCAAAAAAAAACCTAAAAACCAATGCAATCCCATCAAAGTGAGTGGAAAAGTCACCAGGTGAGCTGGGGCTCAAATATGAAGTAGATTCTAAAATTTGGCTCTGTGCGAGCATTTCTGGAACTTTCATTTGTTCCTTCTTTATGGGGACAATAAATAAAAAGAAAAGCCAACAAGAAAACTACAATTCCTACACAGGAAACAACAATGAACACTGGAAATCCAGCTGGGAGAACAGAGAGATTTTAAACATGGACCAGAGGCTCAGATCTCCCCAGTGAGTTTATAACAGAGCAGCTGTGTTGGTTTCAGTGGATTTCCTCACTTTCAGGTTGAGTTTTCCAGGCAATTCTTTGGTTATCCTTGATTGGGAATAAACATTAAATTTTCTAGGCAATACTTTGGTTATCCTTGGTTGAGGATAAACATTAAATTTTCCAGGCAATACTTTGGTTATCCTTGATTGAGGGTAAACATTAAATTTTCCAGGCAATACTTTGGTTTTCCTTGGTTGAGGATAAACATTAAATTTTCCAGGCAATACTTTGGTTATCCTTGATTGAGGATAAACACTAAATTTTCCAGGCAATACTTTGGTTATCCTTGATTGAGGGTAAACATTAAATTTTCTGGGCAATAGTTTGGTTATCCTTGATTCCTGTAGATTTTGTGCTAAGGGAGTTACTGGCCAGGATGTTTGGCCAATTAACACCTTACATGACCTTATCAGACTCTTTGTAGAAAGTAAATTTGTAACTGACACTTGTTATTAACCACAGAAAATAAAAGACTGATGCTCTCTAGGACAGAACAATTTCCAATCAATTTTGTGTGCAACAGAAAGACCCAAGATAGATTTGATCTTGCATATTCTTACTTCCCAAAAGTTGTCTACTGAAACGTTACAGACCATAATTTTGAGAGTTGAATCTGATTTCCAGAGGCAAAAACCATTCCTTTAAATAATCCACCTGTGCAAAATTTTCTACTTTTCTACTCAACAATAAATAATTATTATTCAATAAAAATTATTATACTTTGTGGGGTTGTAGGTCTTAGTGCACAGTTCATGACATGGAAAATGAGATGGAAAAAGCCCTTCTTTCTACTCAATCACCATTAATGGCTGTGTTTGGGATAATTCTTTTAACACAAGGCTCAGCTGAATTCAGAGTAGTCTTGGCACCCTCAGCCAGTGCCAAGAGTTTGTGGAAGTGTCAGCAGATGTTGGGACACAGCTTCCTGTGGAAGGGGCCCAGGTTTCTCTGAACACACCTCAGGGGAAGTTGCCACCACAGGCTGTGAATGAGAGGAAAACCAGGGAATTTCTGCAGGGAAAATCCAGGAATGACCAGGGGGAAAGAGGCAGTGAAGGAGGCACAGCCACAGAGGTTTTGTCAAAGTGGCAGAGCAGGAAAATGCTCTGTAGAGCACAAGGCTGGCAGGGGATGAGCACACAGCAGCTCAATTTGTCAAGGGCTCACAGAAGATGCTGCAAACCTGCTAAGTGAGAGCCTGGGTAGGGGATTTGGCTCTTTGAATGGCTACAAAAAGCCCTTTGGGACAACCTGTGAGAGAGAAGCCTCTGGATTGACATAACCTAAATGTACAGAGCTAGAAAGGAGATTCCATGACAAAAACCTCCTCTGGTTTGTTTGTGCTTTCAGGCCTGAACAAGAGGCAGGATGATGGTGTTGTCCTGGGCAATCAAAGGAGGGAGTGCTCCAGGGGGAAGGTTTAAGAGCTGAGTTGTAGCTGTGCAGAGCTGCCAGGAAAACATCCAAAAGTTATCAGAGCTAGAGGCTGACATTTTAGACTAAATGGAAAAGTGGGAGAAGAGAGTAAGAGCTCTGAACTGTCAGCAACAATGTCATTGCTGAGCAGGAAAGGATGGTGGCACTGGGAAGGGGAAGAAACCAAAGTAGGGGGAAAAAGGTTTCCTAAAGGAATAAACTGGAGGAACGAGACCAAAGGAGAGGCTGGGAAAGTGATTAGAGAAATCATGGTAAAATTACAGGAGGATATAGTCCCAGGAGCCTCAGTGCCAGGAGCCAAGGGAACTTCATTTTCAGGCATGTGATTGAATGGATCAAAGGCAAGAAAGGATGGAGTTGAGGAGAAATTTCAGTGGAAGAAAATCTGGGCTTGTAGAGCTTTGAGGTGAAAGGAGCCAGGAATGGGGTGGTGCCTGCAGAGGCAGCTGGGGTAACAGGGAGGGTCCAAAATTCCTTGTGAGAGACAAACTGGCCTTCAATAGATACAAAAACAGCAAAGGAGAAAGCGTCATAATTAAAGATTAACTGGTTTCTGTACATCCCACAATGTGTATGAAAGGCTCACACACATTCATTATGCCTGTCAATATAATGTAAAATATACAAGCTTTTCTTCAGGTGTGCACATAAATCACCAAACCCTGCCCTTTATTTGCAGGCTGTTGGTGGAGCAGCTCAGTGGCTGCTCCAGTTGGTGGGGAATTTATGAATTTTGTGCTGACAGATTTCTCTGGTGACGTCTCAGCCAGAGCATTGCACAGAAACTCAGCACCCCAGCTGCTGCTCATTCATCATGTCCAAGTGCCTGTCCTGAGCAGGAAGACCCCCAAGGATCTCCCAAGGATTCAGAGCAGTTCCATCAGTCCCAGACCAGTGTCAGCTCCTTTGAGTCAGGATTAAACAAATCCCCTTTAATGACACTGAGCTTCATTGGGATCTGGAAATGCTATTTTTCAGGTTGTCTGTGAGACCAGAGTCTCAAATTCTTTCTTTTCACCACCCAGGGGATCAGGTTGTTTATGAGAATTTAGTTCTAGCTGGCATCCCTAATCCAAATATACCCAGACTTTGGCAGTCATGACCATAAATCTCCTATATGTGAGTCTGGATCCTGATTTTGTGGCCAGACCTTTTCTTTCAGCAGCAGGATAAAAATCCACGTGCCCAAGCAATTCCAGATTTTGTCCTATTTGGAAATCTCAGTTAAACTTCTCCCTTCAGTGAGCCCCATCCATCAGCACCTCTATGGATTTCTTACACTTAATTTGCTTTATTTACCTTTGTTTACCAGAAGTGAAGCACTGCAGGGAAGGGGCCAGGCAGCTGTTGGCATCCAGGTGCCTGCTTGCTGCAGAATTCAATATTGACATCAGTTCAAAGGATAACAAGAAAGAAACAGATAAAACAAAACAGCCTTATCAATAATTAAATTAAATTTGATTTGCCCTAAAAGGCAAACAGATCATTAAAATTTTTTAAAGGGCACAAACCAGCATCTAACATTGACCATTACATTTCTGTGGTGGTGACAAAACTATCAATATTGCAATATTACAATCTTTGAAGTGTACAGATGCAATAAACATTAGAAAAACATTTGCTGACTGAGTCTTTCCCTTGGTTTTATAGGCTGAGTGTGAGCTATAGCTGATGTTAGATTTGCTCCTGAACTCTCCTTTCTGAATTCCTTTACTGCCTTGGTATTATCAGGGTGTCCATCTAAAACAGAATTCAAGCCCCACATTCACTTTATTTAATAGAAACGCCACATAAAACTCTCATATTTCTGTAACAACATTAATATGATGCACCAGGCCTTTTATTCCCTTTTATTCACAAACTCTAAAGCTCTATTAGAGTGTTCATTTTTAAAAGAATTTTGTTTGTTTGCTCTTTGCTTGTCAGGGTGTGCAGGGAGGGAGGGGCTGGCATTTCCTTGGGCACAAATGGAACTGATGGAGGTGCCCAAGGTGGGGAATAAGGCCCTGGCTCAGGATTTATCCTCCCACCACATCTTCCAGAATTGCACCACAGAGGTCTCTGACCGCCCCCCATGACATTTTGGGCTTTCCTCTTGGAGATTTCTGCACTCACTTTAATTGTCTCTGGACCCAAATAATCAACATTTAACTACTGGCAATGTTCATGTACCCAACCAGTGATTTGACTGGGGGGGAAAAAAAGCCCCAAACACATAAAGATCCTGTGATTTGCATGGCAATACTCACCCCCATCTCCTCCTTTAGGTCTGTAAGAATTCTGCCATTTGAAGCTGTCCTACAGAGTTGCCATGGCAACGAGAAGAAAGGAAAAAAACCCCATCAGCCCTGAAGATTGCAGTTTACAAGGACTGTTCTTCACTCCTCGGCCTCAGTTGCTCCAGTTTAGTTTGCAATCTCACTCAATCTGTCCAACTGTACCTTGGTGTTCGACAGCCTCCGCCCCTCCGCCCTTTGGCCCTGGATTCCTCCTGCAGGACACAAGGTTTACTCAAAATTTACTCTGAATGTTAACAGACCATGACATCCAAACCCCCACCCACCTTGGGGTGAGCAGAAAAAAAAGAAAAAAAAAAAAAAACAAACAAAAAAACACCACAAAACCAGATTGACTCCATTTTTTTTCTATCTGTTGACTTGTTGCTATTCAACTGTTCAGAAAATATTTTGTCTGTGGGTTAGTATTTGTATATGTATGAGTGTATGTATATATATATATTTATATAGAGAGAAGAGTTATACCACAGGTTTAGCTTTTATAAAATGTTCATCTGGAGGGTGAGAGAAGGGAGGGAGCAGAAGAACAACACCACCACAGCCACAGATGAATGGGAGCTGTCCCAGCATGGCTAAACCTGCTGTGTTTGCTGTCCAGAGCAGCAGAGAGCCCGCGGCCCTTCTCGTACCTCAGGGTCAGCAAAGGAGAAATGCAAATCCCCAGGGCTTGTTCCTGCTCTGGACTGCTCTCCCTGCCCCAGAGGGAGCTGGGGATGCAGGAGGAGCAGCCAGGTGTGAGCAGCTCTGCCTGATTTGAGAGGCCAAAGGGCTGAAATGTTGGCTGGGGCAGGTGACAAAACGTTTTTATCAGCTCTGCAGGTGAGAAGCTGAGCCCAATGCTCAGAGCTTGCCAGAGCCCTGATCTCTGCCTCAGCCTCGGGGCCAGCAGCAGCACAGGGGCCCTGTTCTATAAAAACCCTCACAGCCACACCAATCCATCCTTTTGGATATATATATACATACATACACATGTACACACAGTTGCCAGTTAAGAGTAACGAGAGCATTTCTTTGTGTGTGTAAACTTAGCACACCTGTTTGCAGACAGGGGAAAAAAGGGTGTTTGTTCTCTATGAATATGGATCCTTTTTTATTCTGTGAGCATGTAAGGTCAAAAAACAACAACAAAAAAAAAAGAATCCTTCTAACTGTATGAAGATGATCATCTTGTTAATAAACTGTAAATGATCCATCAAAGCTCACACCAAATTTTTATAAAATTAACACAAAAAGTATACTAGTGACAGACTGTGGCTTTTATTAGAGCTTGGCAGTAACTAGGGTAAGGTAAGTGTCTTAGAATATTTTAATAAACTTGCTTATTTAAAGTTTAAACAAGAAAGCTTCCTTATGCAATAGAACTTTGCAGCTGCACTCTTTAGTTGGCATTTTTACAGTAATTATGGGTCATACTCGATGGCATCCTTACCACAGTGAGAGTATGAGCATACCTTCCACCCCACATCTATGTTCCAATAGTAAAGATTTTTGGAAGCATTAAAAATAAGTCCAGACATACATTTAGTTTCCCATAATGCTACACTAGATATTAAATGTGTGTTGGTGGTTAAAATTTGCTGTACAATAGCTTTTCTCCGACTTCCTGTATTATACCAAATATGAAACAGGTTTTTTGGTTTTTTTTCTTTCTTCCTTTTTTTTTTTTTTTTTAATCAAAAGGAGTAATAACAACAGACAGAGGAAAAATGAGTTTGTGTTGTGAGCTTTCCTAACGTTGTAGATTTGTTGATAAGATATGAGCTGCCTTCAGACCAGGCTTTCTCTTCCAGCTTAACTCCTGCAGTCCTGGCCAAGTGAAATCTCTTGTGTCACCCAAGTGGCACTTGAAGGTCACGGGGACCCCAGGGGTGGCTTTGGCAGCTCCAGGCATCCCAGCAGGGAAGTGCCTGACCCCAACCCTCGACATGGGCACGCTCCTGGTCCTCTCTCCCTGCCCATGCCTTGTATGGACCCCACCTGCTGCTTTGCCATCAACAATCACATCTTTTTTATTAAAAAAAAATAAATAAATAAAAATAAAAATAGATATTATTTTCAAGCAAATTTTTTTCCAAAAGGAACAATTTATCTACTGTATGGCACCTCTGGAATTCCAACGTGTATGTTCAATGAATGCACCCAAAGATATTCTGCACCCTGTGCTTTGAGCTACAAAACCTCTATCTTGAATAAAAGAAATTATATTACCCTGCCCCACAAATACTCTTTTCTACTTGCTTTTTTCCTCTCTCCACCCAGCCAAACCCACCTCTCTTGACTTTGGTGTCATTTCTGTCAAATGCCAGAAAAATCTGCCCTTCCCTGCTTTAAACCCAGGCTCACAGAGCGTTTGGTGAATCATCCCAAGGGCAGCCAAAGAGAGGAGCAAAGAGAAAACTCTTCTGCCTGGAGCTCCACCAGCAAGGGGAAGACTCTTCCTACACCCTGTGCCCAAGGAAAGGATCTTTCTTCTTGGATCCACTGCAGGATTTTGATGTGCAGAGGGCTCAGAGCCTGGCTGAAGCTCTGAGCCGAGCTGCATCCAAGCCTCCATTCCCATTTTCCCGTTGTTTCTGCCTCCCAGCCTTTCCCAAGTGTCCCCAGGGAGCCCATCCCAGCCATGCCAGGAGAAGATGAAGCTGCCATGTTCATGTTTGTCCCCCTTTAACACAGACTGAGGCACGTTCATGCTGTGACACGAGTGAGGAACCACAGCAGGATCTGAATTTTCCTACCTGAACAAAGGGTGTCACCTCTGGCTCAAAAAGCCAGTGTCCATTTCCTGGAACAAAGGGACAACAGTGATTTATCCATTTTCCTACAATACAATGAAAAAGCAGAAGATTTACAAAATTGGTTGTATTATTTTCTAATAGTTGATTCTGTTTAACATTAGTTCAGCCTAATTAATTGATTCAAATTAATTCAAGGTTGCTGTTTTTATAACACACCCCTTATTCCTACCCAGCTGTTTTAGCCCCACCAACAGTTATTTCAGTCTGTGTTTGTAGGTTCATAAATGCTGTCTAAATTTGGAAAGGCAGTGAACTTGTTGATTATCATTTTGTAACAGGCACAAACTTACTTTTTACTTGTTAAAATCATTTCACTTGAAAAGGCTCTGTGCTGTTGAAACAAAAATTGGGAATAGCAATCAGTGAGAGGGGTTTATTAGCAAGGGAAAGGTCTCATTTTTGGTGTGCTTGCTAATTGAACCCTGGTCTGTGCTCCTTGTGTGTGCTTTTCCACTGTGCCTGTGTGCATTTATTAATGTCCATGTTGCTCAGTAGCTGTAGGTCTGGAGAGTAAAAATAAGGAAAAAGAGCTGAATTTCCTGCTGGGTGTGGAGGAGGATGTGGAGGTGAGGGTGGAACGCTGGCAGCACCGTCCCTGAGCCCTGCTCTCATCACCTTTACACTGCTGGAGTCAAACAGCAGCTCCATCAGCAGAAATGAGGTTCAGTTCATCATTTTTAGGTGGAATTCTCCCTCCCCACCTCTTGCTTCTTGCTGCTGGCTGTGAACAGTGGGGCTGCAATGTTTGTCACAGGATTGCTGAGTGCTCACACCTTAGCAGAAGCCTGGGGTTTGTCACATCCAGCCACCCACAGGTGCCTGCACTGAGCACCTGGAGCTGTCAGAACCATTTGGTTTAACCTTTATTTGAAATGGATGGGGTCAAACGATTTGTTCCGCTCTCTTGCATAGTCATTTTTTAGATTACTATAATACAAACCTCATTTATTAAATTATGGACTTACAAGCAGCTTGTAGGGCCCTATCCTAAATGCCTTATCACTAGAAAAAGACATCTACTATATTGACAACTTTGGTCTTTCCTTTGCAAAGGCCTCTTGTCTGAAACACTGAGAAAGCTGCCAATTTTCCTCTCAAATGTTACTAATCTACTCGGAGCAGAATTCTGTACACAAATAATCTTACATCACTTGCTCTAAAGGCTAAGTTGCTTTTGGAATAGGTTTAAAATGTCTTATTTAATTAAAAAAAAATAATAATTATATTAAAGTCACATTGGCTTGAGACCACCAAGTCTAAAGCAAAACTCTGCTCCTGTCTTGCCTTTTTTGCATCTCTAGAAACTGTTGTCTGAGAGAGAGCCAGCCCAACGCTAACACAAAGGAAAACAAAACAGCAGTTACTTCCTTTCAGTTAACTCTGTGCCCTTCAGCAGTGCACATTAGGAATGAACATGATGGATATTCTCTTCAGAGCAGACAGAGCTGAGGCTTGAAAGCACAGGAGGCCCTGAGTGCCCTGTCCTGCCTCACACCAGGACACTGCAGCTGCTCGGGGCTGTCCCAGTGGGATGGATGCACTCCCCCACTCCCACAGGAGGGTTTCCAGTTGCACAACTGCTATGTGTGTATATATGTAGATATATAGAGATATACACATATAAATATATATATTATATATATGCAGGTGGAAGGAGGTGGATACAACACGGAGGACTTGGAATAAGCAGTTTAATTCCCTCAGTTAGGGAGGAATTCATGAGATAAGGGACAGCATGGGCTGCATGTACTGAACCAGTCTGATTTAAAGCAAATAAAAGGGGCAAAAAGCCCACACACCAAACCCCAGGCTTATCTCAACTCTCCTGTTGTATTTCTGCCACCCTGAGCTGTCCCCTCGTACCACAATTATATCAGTTGAAGACATGCATCGTTGTTTTCTGACTCATTTTCAGTTGTCTGTGGATCAGCAGGTCACAGGAGTGCAAAGGGAAGGGTTTAGAGCCAGAATTCCTCATTCCTGAGCTTTCAATGTGGGACATTCCTGAGCTTCCAGTGGGACAGCTGCTTGGGAAAGCTTCATCCAGCCTCGAGCACTGCACTCCTCCTCTGCATCAGCAAGTGAGTGCACTCTGAGGTTTGGGGTGAAATAAATGCAGTGTAGAGCCAGGCTGGGTGTTTGGATGTGCACACACCCCCTGAGGCGTGGAATGAGGAATGGATCCGTGTCTGGGGGGCTGAGGTGGGAACTCAGCACAAATGGGTTGTGTTGTTACTGCCATTTCAGCCAGAACCCTCCTGCAAAACCACACCTACCCCAAACAACCTCTGTCCCTTGAAGTTACCACCAACATTTTTTTTTTATTATTTTTAACAGTCCAAACAAGGAGGAAAACATTTTGTTTGATTTTCAAGATGCTTAATTCAGCTGCTTTTCCAGTTAATCATTCCTTTGGGCCCTAGTTGCTGAATCGCTTGCTGTTTCTGAGGTGTAAATAAACATTTTGATTTATGATGTGGTTGCAAAGAAACTTGTAATTTATTTGT